TCTGTGTCTGTTCCAGAACTTCTCTGAATACAACACAGGCTGACTACAGCTCTGAATACCTGTGAATACATCCATGCGGACCCAGTCATAGGTTCCACCAACTAGGCATGGTGACACGTACATGCAGTCTCAGCACTGAGGAGTCTGAAGTCAAAGATCTGGAGTTTAAGTCCAACCCAAGCTACATAGCAAGTTGCAGGCCAGCCTGGGCTACATAGTCAGACCCTATGTTAAAACAGAGCAAGAGGTTTTAAGTGTGAATGGTACTTAGTTCAAAACTTTCAATGATAAAGTACAATATATTCAGTATTTTGTCCTGAAGTTAGAGCCTATTTTTATATCTCAGACAAACCTATGAAACTCTTATTTTAAATTGCATTTTATTTATTATTTAGCTTAGACACATGTGTACATGTGTGTTTGTGTGTGATGGGCATATATGCATGTCAAGGCCAGAGGACAATTTGCAGGAGTCAGTTCTCTCTTTCCACTATGTGAATTTTAGAGACCAGACACTTGTGGCTCATTTGGTGGCATCTTTCCCTGCTGAGCCATCTCGCCAGCTCTCCCTTTAATGATAAAATAACTCCTTATTTACCCACAAGTTTCTTCAACAGAGTTTTTTATTTGAATAACATATCATCTTTGTGCTACACTGAACTTATTTCTTCCTTTCCAATTGTTGCATCATACCTTTCATTTCTTCCCTCCCTACACTGTCTAGATCCTCCAGCACAATTTTTAATAGAAATGGTCATTTTATACAAGTGTATAAAATAATCATTTGATCATTAATTTTAAATGCTTTTAGTAGTTAGCCATGAAGTTTGCCAAAGGGTTCCCTGTGACACTGATGACATTTTATTCTATTCATAAGTTACTCAAGGTTTATTTTTGACATGAAAAAAAATTATGGAATCATATTGATCCTTTTCTGCATTATAACAGGAGTTGGGATTGCAGCTGCGCACTGCATGCCTGGTTTATGCTGGAGACCCATGCCAAGGCTTTGTGCCAGTCAGCCTCTTGACCAGTGGCACTACATCCCCAGTTGCTAGGCAACCCCTCGACCAGTGGCACTGCATTCCCAGTTTCATCTAATTTGTTACCTAGCAGTTTGATAATGTGGCCTGTCAACTCTGTTGCTAGGCAAATTTGCTTATGGTTAAAAACCTAAACTCTGAGTGGCAAATTACATCTGGACTAGGAGGGCCCATAGCAAACTGGGAATATCTAGCAAAGAACCAGATCTGTGGGCTTACCCAAGCATCTAAGGGCCTGGCATCTGTGAACCATCTGGGAGCTGTGCCCCTTTCACTGTGGGATGGAACTTTCCCGAAGATAAATCTTTTGACTGAGATTTCTACACCACCCACCTGACGTGATTGTTATCTCCTTGTACCTGACACATCATCGAAGAAAACCAAAGAGAGATAGCAAAAGATAGCTATGGAAACTTGTATTTTAAGATTATATAGGTATTATGTAGAATCATATATTGTATATAATATATATATTATATATAATGATCTTAGTGTATATATCTCATCTGAGAAGAATGGTACCAAAAGAGACGTGTAGAGCTCTTAGGATTCTGAGTGTTCAGTTGCACCAAACTCTTAGGGCACTGGAGTATACCCACTGACTTTTCACCTGTTGGATGCTTTCCTAGGCTAAGCCCTACTTGATCTCCATCTATTTGTTTGATGGATTTTGTTTGGTAAGGTTTTATTTAGAGCTTTTGCACCTATGTTCCTAAATGAAATGAGACTGGATATTTCCCTGGGGCCTACTGTCTGCTGAACTTTTAGAATTAAGGTTATTAAACTCACAGAAAGTGCCCGAGTTCTTTCCTTGCATATACTCTGAGATGGCTTGTGTTAGGTGCACAGTTCTTGTTCCTTAGCTGCCTGATAAACTTTACAAATAAAGATAATTGAGTTTGAAGTTTCTTTGAAGGACAATCGATCTTAAAATACTTATCGGATGTCTTCAGTGGTTGTAGTACTATAAGACAGCACCCATCCCTGAATCCCAGGAATTACATTTTTCCTCATTTCATACATGTTTTCCAACCTGTAGGCATAAAGAGCTCATAATGCCATCTAAGTATTATCACTTTGCTAGGAGGGGGGAGTGAGGAAGTATGTGTGTCAGTTTACTATTTGGCCTCTTTCTCTTGGCAAAAGTGATGCTCCTTGCTTCAGCCTTTCACAAAATTGGTTTTACCTGGTTCTCTTTTCTAAAAACTTTATTTATCTTTATTTTATTTTACATGTATGGGTAATTTATTGCATGCACATCTATACACCATATGCATGCAGTGCCCAAAAAGACCAGAAGAGGGTGTCAGATTCCTTGGAATCTGGAGTTGCAGATAGCTGAGGGTTGAACCTGGGTCCTCTGGAAGAACAGCCAGTGCTTTTAGCCCCTGGGCGATCTCTCCAGCCCCTACTCTTTACTGTTTTTATGTTTAATCTTGGCAAAGCATTCTGAGCTATATTAGTTGTTTTAAAGGAGCAACTTTCAGCTTTGTTAACGTCGTCTGTTAGTTATAACCACTTTTGACTCAGTTTCTGTTCTAAGCGTATTTCTCCCCTTGTTGCGTGTGTGTTGTGTATATGTTTGCATGTGGGCACACGTGTGTATGTGTGTGTAGAGGCCAGAGATCAATGACAAGTGTACCTTTGTTTACTCTCCTCCTTATTTCTTTGAGGGTCTTTAACTGCACCTGGGGCTCACTGATTCAGCTGGTTTCCAGCAAGCTCTATGGTTCTTCCTGACTCAGTTTCCCCAGCCTCCCTATTTCAGAATATTTTATTTCCAGTGCTGGGCTTACAGTGTTGTGGCACATGGCTTTCTGAAGGGTACTGGGGATCCAGACTCAGGTCCTAAGGTTTAAAGTCCTAGCAGCTATATTAATGGCAACCCCACCCCCACTCCTGCCTTTTAGGAGACTCCTGCCTTTTAGGCTTTTGGTTTGCTTGTTTTATTTTTGAAACAGAGTCTCATCATGTAAGTCCTAGCTTAACTGGAACTCACTATGTAGACCAAGCTGACTTCAAACTCACAAACAAGTACCACCACGCCTGGCTCTCCCACCCTTTAAAAGTTTACTGTTTTTCTTTGACTAACTTCCTAGTTTGTGTCATTTATGAAATTATAAAATTTAAAGGTTTTTAAAACGATCTATTTATTTTATGTATATGGTGCTATCTGCATGTACACCTTTATGCCGGAAGAGGGCACCAGATCCCACCATAGATGGTTGTGAGGCACCCCGTGTTTGCTGGGAATTGAACTCAGGATCTCCGGAAGAGCTGCCAATGCTCTTAACCACTGAGCCATCTCTCAAGCCCCCCAAAATCATAAAATTTAAAGTGTTTAGTTGTTTTTAGTATTTAATTTCCACCCTAAGATTTTATTATTGTTTTTGTTATTTTTATTTAGTTTTTTTTGGTACTGATCCCCAATTATCCACCATGGCTGGGGAAAGGTATCCATCCATAGTTCTTTAAAATTTACTTCATGGTACATTAAGTGGGAAAGTATTGAAATTTTTCTATATATAAACTGGTTAGAGGAGTCAGTGGATAAATGTGCCTACTGCAGCCCCCTCCGTTTATAAACAAGGAAACTGTCTAAATAAATGATCTTATAACAGAAGTTAGAACACTTGCTGGAAGAATAGCCTTACTATTCAACTTGATTATCTCTGTCTTAAACAACGGAGTCTAAAGACCAGCCAGTGTGGGACGCACTAAGCTCAGAGCGCTTGGCAGATGTGTTGTGTCAGAGCTGTCAATGGAATGAACAGCTGAGATTACTGTCCTCGGTGTTTGCTGCACTCTGACTGCTGACCCCGCTCAGAGTCTTCGCACTGTGACCGTGATCCTGGTGCCACGGCAACAAGCTGCCCTAGCACATCAGTAAGAAGTGGCTGCTGAGTGACAAGAGGGTGTGATCACCCCCGTGTCCCTAACGTGCATTCCTGACAGGACTCCACTAGCAGGCTTGTCTTCCAGGTGGCACTGTCCAGAGAAGCCACCACCCAGCCCCAGCAGGGTCCTTTAGCTCATCCTCTTCTTCAGCCAGTGAGGTCCTGGTGCTGATGGACATCTCAGCAGGAGCACTTAGAACAATTTCTGACCCCTCTAGTTGACTCCTATTAATTGCTTTTAGACCTGGTCGGTCGCCAAAACAGCTTTTCAGCTTACATTAATACTTTGCTGCCACGTAAATGTTTGTCAGGTCAAGAACTGGGACTTGCTATTTTCATCCAAAATAAGAGCTTCCCTTATTCCTAAAATTTTATTCCCACCATAGGAGACAGTATGTCCCATGCCTTAATTCATTCACAGTGCTCTTCTCAGCATCTCTGGGTGGAGACGATACACCCTCTTTCACAGCCCCTGGCCAGCAGCTCCCTGGAAGGCAGACTGTCATACCCATTGAAGTCTAGCTGCCTCTCGAGCAGTTCATCTCAGCGGCTACAGTCTGATTTGCTAAAACGGGTATGGACAAGGAAAGGCTCTGGAGTTCACGACCGAATGGTCACGTTACCTTGTTGCTTAGTCTAGCAAATGCAAGCCTAAATATTTGTCCTTAGTACTAAAAGTTTCAAGTGGGAAGGCGGCTTTCTCCTGAGATTGGGGGAGGCTTTTCTAGTGACACTGTAAGCACTGTGTTTAGAATTAGGACTCTTAGGTGATTGTACTCTCTCTGATGAGAAGTGCATTACAGGGAAATCCATATATCTTCCATTTCAGACACAATGAAGGAGTTTGGATTGGCTGTCAGAGGGACTCCTTTCTGGTTTTGCAGACAGAGATTATAATTCATTGCCATTATTGCATCAGAGTCTCATCCCTGGAATTCTTAGAGTGCCAGTTCTGAACTGACACAATGAGAACCTTATGTGTAAATAGCATCGTGAACCCTGTTACACAGGAGGGGTACCACAGCTATACTTTCTGGGAGAACAAGTTTACTGGCTGTCGTGTAATCACTTAAAATACTTTATTAAGCATTGATTTTAAAAATGCAAGAGAAAAATGTGACACCTCAGAGCAAATGCTTAAAGGTAACCAAATATCATTATAAATATTGCACTTTATAAAACCCTTCTTATATCTTCATACAACTCAATTCTAGAATATCTTTCTACAGAGACGTATAATACAAGCTGCCCGTGCTTGCTGCTGTCCCCATCTGGCAGCGGGTGGGAGGGGTCTCCGAGAACGGCTCCTCACAGCACAGGCTCGGAATTCCCACCAGCCACGCTGGAGTGGGGCACACCCCCACCGCGTGAGGAGTAACTTAGCCCCATCTCTCAGAATGCAGTGTTAAACCGTATGGGCCTTTTCTATGTGGGGAGAAGAGATCTTTCAGAGGCGACAAACAAGTCCAGCTGAAGTGGCTGAGCTCAGGCTAACATTGCTTGTTCTTCAGGGCGTTCATGGGTTTCTGGTTCTTATTCTTAAACATCTTGACAAAGCTGTTTGGCATGATTTTGCCACGCCCATCTTCACCCACTTGTCCCATGATAATGTAATTTAGACCTAAAGAAAGAGAATATAAAAATAAATGTTTTTTCCCTTTATGTTCATGATTGAAGGCTTCCCTCCCCATCAGAAGTGGACAGTGTGTTAACCTCAACTCCACTTCCCTACCCCAGCCTCTGCCTGGCTCAGAGAGGCTGTCTGCTCCGTCCTCACCTCTTCTGAGCAGCGGGCACTGCCTGCAGACCACAGTGAGCTTGACGCTCATGTTCTTGCCAGCCTGCTGAATGGCCAGGTTGCCCTCCCTGTAGATGCTGATGATTGAGACTGTGGCGTGCAAACTCCCACCGCGGGTGACCGTTGTGATGACGGTGCCGGCTAGCACTGTAGAGAAAAGCGGGTGGTGACGGCAAATCCAAACAGAGCTGAAAATGATTTTCAATCTTTTACATTTCAGAAATGAGAATTTAATGTTAAAGAGTGCTCAAAATTGGTGGCTAAAGTGCAGGTTAGGAAAGGATTGTGGAGTCAGGCAGTGGTGGTGCACGCCTTTAATCCCAGGACTTGGGAGGCAAAGGCAGGTGGATCTCAGTGAGTTTGAGGCCAGCCTGGTCTACAAAGTGAGTTTCAGGACATCCAGGACTGTTACACAGAGAAACCCCGTCTCAAAAAACCAAAAGAAGAAGAAAGAAGAAGGAAGGAGAAGAGATGGAAACCCTCTTAAAATATTCTAACCTGTGGATAGATTGGCACTTAATAGATAGAGTTATGAACCTCACTTATGAGTACTTAGCTGTTTATTTCATTTAGAAAATCAAAGTCGAGAACTGAGGTATAACTTAAGAGTGAGCTGTGTGTTTGTACTAGCACTCCCTAATAGAACCCAAAACTGCCCCCGGTGCGGGTTTCCATCCACAACTGAGAACTCACTGTCCCTCGGGGGTAATGTCTGGTCACTGTGCCATCTGAGTGAGGCATAGACAATAGGCTAAATCTAGTTCTAGACATAGGTAGCAATGCCGCAGGGCAGTGTGAGCCCCAGCGCTATGTAATACGCCAGGCTCTTAGAGTCTCAAGTCCTAGCACACCTTCCTTTGCTCCTGGTTATGGTGGTCACTGTGCAATGTCATCTGTAGCCAAGGAAGATGGGGGGGGGTTCCCCAAGGCACAGAGACACAACTCCTCGCCCGTCTCCCGAAGAAGACTAACCTGGGTGTGGTCGCTGATACGCCTGGCAATGTTTGCTTACATTTCTATGCAGCTGTTTGAACTCAGTAAGATCCACCCCTTCCCTCCAAGACAGTCCCTGGGCACCAGGCCGTTGCCACTTATGGCACTGAAAGTGAGCAGGAACTTTGGGAGGGCAGACACGTTTGTTCCTGATAACCTGTTTGAGTGCAGCATCTGTCTTTTCCCGATAATATTAAATTTGGCGTCTTTGGTTCTTGAGTGCTTTTCACAATGATGCAAGTTTCTAATTGGGAAAAGTCCCTTAGAAACCCAAGCACCTGAGTTTTCCTCCTCGGGGTCCAGTTTACAAGAGTGTCAAACGGACGGCAGATTTTCGCATTTTTCCTTAGCATGCTGGAACCCCGCGACTGAGACAAGCTTCTTTCTGAGAGAGGCCAGCTTTTGAATGTGAGTTTAATCATTTAGTGTAGTTAAGCTGAATCCCAGATGTGAGAAAATCATTCTCTGATGCATAAGAAAGAAACAGGGCAAAAAAAAACTGTACTGGCTTTTTCATGAAGTCAGTCAGAATACAGAGTGGCAGGGTCATGTGTAAGAGTCAACTTATTAAACTGATATGGGGGAAGGAAGCACTGTTTCTAAAGCCTACTCTTCTCATCGTGAAGCCAAACAGTTCAAAGAGCACAGGTGGACACACTCTGGTAGACAGGGCTATGCTTCCGTGGGTAAATGATTGGTGTTGCCGAACCACCACCAGCCAAGCCGAGGGAATGCCTTGGAGATTAAGCACACAGTCTCAAGTTTCTCATTAGAGAGAAAGGCTGGTTTCTGTTTCTTACCAAAGTTGCTTGAACAATAATTGCTCTCCAGAGTCCCCATCCGTCTACACTTCTGCTGACACAGGGCCACAGTGGGTTTTAAACCTAATTCAAAGAAGAAATTCAAAGAACGGAGTCATGAGATTCAGGAAAACGAATTCCAGTATAATTGGTGTTTATAGCAGAATCTGGTCACCTGAAATCAGCATTCATGTCCCTGAGCCACCAACCCACCACTGCAATGAAACAATTATGAACCGTGCAGAGAAATTCTTCATGCTACCAACTACTGTTATTTCTCACAGGAACTCAATACTCTCCACTGAATTTTAAACCTGAGATCAAAGATAATCCAAATTTAGCCTTGCTTTCTCTTTCCTTTGTATCAGCGATCCTTAACCTTCCTAATGCTGCTACCCCTTAATACATGCAGTTCCTCATGTTTGGTGACCCCTAACCATAAAATTATTTCATTGCTACTTCATAACTGTAACTTTGCTACTGTTAATGATCATAATGTAAATATTTTGGGAGGTAGAGTTTTGCCAAAGGGGTCGTGACCCACAGGTTGAGAACCAATGCTTTATATGAACCTTACACTATAACAGAATTGACCTGTGCGCCCAGCTTAGGAAAAACAAACAAACAAACATAAACCAAGAAAACAACATGACAAATCTGAACTGATGGAGCACAGGTTAATTCTTCACAAGAGGAATTCTACAGCGTTCTCATGAGGTGCTTTCGTAAATAGTTCTTATTTAAAATATGCAGTGACATAGATGCCATTGTTCAGGAGCTTAGGAAAGTTACGTACATGTGAAGTGTTAGGCTTGATGCCAGGAATCACTGAGTATTTTGAATGCAGTATTGGCTGTAAGGCTCTCGAGGGCTGAGATGTAACACAGTTATTGGCTTCGTCCATCAAGAGGCACAAGTTATAGGTAAAATCAGACCCAACCACAGTGGCTCTCAGTTGGTGGTGACTTTGTTCTACAGGTGACATCTGATGAGCATAGGCAACATTTGCCCTAACTAGTGAGGCAACAATGCATCTAGTTCACAGCTGAAACTGTCGCCCTGACACGAACTGAGACCTATCCGGGAAAGGACAATCTTATCTGAGAAAACGCCTCCATAACACCGGCATGCAGACAAATCTCTAGGGCATTTTCTTGACTAATGAGCATACACTGTGGGTGGTGCCATCCCTGGGCTGGTGGTCCTGGGTTGTATGAGAAAGCAGGCTAAACAAGTTTCAAGGAGCGAGCAAGCCAGTAAGCAGCTCTCCTCCATGGCCTCTGTACCACGTGCCTTGACTTTCCTGGATGGTGAGCTACAATATGTACGATGAAGTAAAGAGATTTTGGTCATGGTGTTTTATCAAAGCAATAGAAACCCTAGCTAAGACTGCACTGCAGCTTATATGGGGTTCTGTAATTTAATGAGGGGGTCACGAAGAGTTTGGCAATGCTAAAAGGTTCCTGAATGTACAGTGGCCAAAACCTAATTCAATTATATTATATTATAATATATATTGCATTATAATAATTCAATTTATATATATCTGGGGTGTTTGTGACAGTGTTGGCCTGAGGTTCACTGGGAACTGCAGCTTTGGGTCCGAACTCAGCGCTTTGTTCAGCCGACAGTCAGGCCTCATCACCCCAGTCAACACTGCCTGAAACACCTCGGTTCAGATTCCAGGGGGCAGAGTCTACTGCACTGAGTGACCATCACATTTTTACTGTATTTACAAAGTTTCCTGACCTTGCAAAAACACAGAAATTAGTTTATCCAAGGGAGTCTCACTGGGGAAACAAACGACTCTCAAGGGTAGGTTACAAGCCCAGCAGTAGACGCCAACAGAAAACACACTCAACAGCATCTGTGGTGGTTGTCTCATAATGTTAAAGCACACACACACACACACACACACACACACACACACACACTCACGCTTCCTTTGTTTCTTCTCTTAGGGAGGAGGTTAGCTTCTCTGGTCCAAGCCTTTAGGGTATGGAGTATGCAGCCTACAGCCTTTGTGACAGAACTTTTCACCTCTGATCCTTCTGTCCCCTTAGTCACTACCACACTGGTATCAATGTGCTCGCCTCTCAGTGCCCTTCTCTTTCCTTTAAGGACCAAATGTGTGCTATGAGTTGCTGGAACTTTCTGTCTCTTCACTTTGATCCACATGCTCCCCGCCCCACCCTGGCTGCTTTCTGCCTGCGTTGCACCACCTATTTAAAACCCCTGGTCCCAGACTAAACACAAACACCTTAGCCCTTCCAGTTTGTCTCATCAACAGGAGAGTCACTGACCACCTCTGCTGAAGGCGTTGTCTTCCAGGGCCTGAGCTGCACATGTCTTTCCTCTTCCTTTGCTAAGTTAGAGTTCCTCAAAGTTCAGTTCAAGCCTCTTTCCTCCCTGTACCAGAATCTCTCCAAGGTAGACACTTCCCTCTTTTAAAGACGCCTTTACTTTCTTATGTGTATGAATGCTGTTACCCGAATGCATCTAAGTGCAGCACATGCGTGTATGGGGCCCTTGGAGGTCAGAAGAGGGGCTGAATTCCCTGGAACTGGAGTTAGGGATGGTTGTGAGCTACCCTGTGGTTCTGAGAATCAAATCAGGTCCTCTGGAAGAACAGGGGTCTAAACTACCGAGCCATCTCTTCAGCAAGTCTCATTGCATATTCATGACCCTAACTCTATATAAACCTCCCTCTCTGGCCTGGTGGCCCAAATGCCTGCCTGCATAACATGCCTCAGAGGCACTTCAGGCCTTCATTTGTGGCTCCTGCTTCCCAGTCTGCTTCAGGGAACAGAAACCGCTCCCCCCAGCGACTTGGGAGATACTGTCCAGTTAGCACAGGGCCTGTCCCTGTCCCCCCGCTCATCGCTGGACTCTGTATTTGTGTCACAGCATAGTTTAGCCAAACAGCTAAAGAGCATGCTCATCGTCTTGTTCCTTATAATTCATTCACGATGTGGTCCATGCTGGGTTGGTAGATGCTAGTGACAAGGTAAGATAAAGGAAGGCAGAGGCGACCGTGAGAACCTCCACTGATGCTCAGGATGAGCTTGGGCAAACCAGAAGACTATAGGCTTGAAGCAGAGGGTGTGCTCAAGGCAAGCTGAGCCTCACAAGCTCTCGTTTAAGTGTCACGAGATGGTTGGGAGCTCGCTGCAACCCACATTTGCAGTTTTAGAGAAAGTTCAAGTTGGAGCTAAAAGCCAGAAAGCCACTAGCACCGTGGGTCTGTCCAGAAAGCTCACTACACAAGGCAGCGCGCTATAAGCTGGCTGATTTGTGGAGCAGGAGCACTCATAGAAAGTAAAATTTGTTTAGAGTCTCTATCTTTGCTCATTTTGTTAAACTTTAACTATTCGAATAAATTGAGACAGACAGAAAGCTATAATATTCTATAATGGTGAAGTTTTCTGCATTTATGGTTTATTTTGACGCTAAAGAATCTGCAATTAAATCTTCAACTTGGGTTTTTAAAACTCAGATCTAACAGGGGAAAAGCTGTAAAATCCTAGCCATACAAAAGCTGTTAACTTGTAAACTATTCATTTAGTACCAAGCTTTATTTAGCCTCCAGGGCACTCCTGTGTTCTATCAGAGGAGGGCAAAAAGCCTAGCTATTATCTCTCACTTTAATCCTGGCCCTAATTTGAGGTTTCTAATCTGAGTTCTTGAATTCCCACAGGGTGGAATGACTAGTTAGGCCTTAGAGACCAGATATCAGGCCCCACTGCCTTTGTAACTTCTTAGATCATGACCCACAACTGTCTACAGCTTCTGTAATTAGTGAACAGTTTTGTTTGATTTACTCCATTATATATATCATCTTCTAAGAGGCGGAAAAACCCCAAAAATCTTTAAACCAGTTATTTTAAAAAACTGGCAGATATCAAGGCCCTAGAACATTAACCTAAAATAGAATTTTCTGTAATAAAAATAAAAATTGTAAGAAGATAGAAGGGAGAAGGAAGAAAAGATGACCCAGGACCACAGTCATCAACTTATGAACAGGAAGAATGTTCTAGAATCCAACAGCACTGTAGTGTGACTACACAATTCATTGTATCATACACAGTTAAAATAGTAAGTTTAAAAAACTTCTATTTGTTATGGGGTGGTGTGTTGGCAGAGGTCAGAGGGTGACTCTGGGATTCTCTTCTTCTACTTAGGTGGGCCCAGGGAGCAAACCCAGGTTCCACCCTTGCACAGTGAACACCTTTTCCTGCAGAACCTCCCCAGCCCTGTATTATATATTCTAAGAACTAGAAGAGATGGCTCAGATTTGAGATGGCGAATATTTAAGGAGACAGAAATGATGCTCTGGTTTGATCATTGTACACTGTATGCATGGATCAAATTCTATGTCACAAATACGTGCCAATTACTATGTTAAATTAAAAAAAACAATGAAGGAAAGAATTCTGCCATGTAAAGGAACACTAGGTTGTAAAGATAAAGGCAACCAGCTTGCTTGCCTGTAAGTCTTAGATGGCCATTGTTTTCGCCCATGGCTAAAGCAAGTCACTAGCTGGTGAGCATTCTTGCCTGCCTTTCTTTTATCCATTAAATTTCATTATCGTCTCACCCAAGTTTTCATCTAGTTGTTTCTCTTTCTGGTACCTTCTTATTTTGCCTGAAAATAGGAAGCGTTTCTACTTCCGAAGACTTCTTCTTAGAGTACTAAAGTATTAGCGCCAACCTGCAAACAGCAGAGCTTACCTGGGGTCACGGGGAGCGTGGTGGTGACAGGCACGGCTGTAGTTGTGGGAATTTTTTTGGGCCTGAATTTGTAATGACCAATAAATCCATCTGCTGTTAGACTTAAGTCTGATAGAAACTGAATGAGAAGTTCATTTCTCTCAGACAGGATCGGCCTAGGAGAGAAACACATTAAAAGTTAAATGTCAAATCTTGCAGCTTTTTTTCTTTCTTTGTTGTTGTTTTTGTTTTTCTGAGACAGGGTTTCTCTGTATAGTCCTAGCTATCCCGGAACTTGCTTTGTAGATGAGACTGGCCTTGAACTCAGAGATCTTCGGGCCTCTTCCTCCCAAGTGCTGGGACTGAAGGTGTGAACCATCACACCCAGCTAAAACTTCTAGCTTTCTATTCATTTTTTGACAATAGATTAGCAACTTGCTGTAAATATAAAACGCAAAACACTTGAAAAAAATACAAGTCCTAGATACAAGACCTTCATAAGGACCCTATTATCATCCTCTTTCTGTAGAACAGGTCACTGCCTCTGACTCGGGAGAAAGCTGTGCGACGCAAGTGTGGGACCAACAGAAGTAGGCGTCCTATGACCTCCGTCTACGCTTCCTGTCCCCAAAGCAGCTAGGACCGGGTAAAGAATGCTTCAGGGATTCAAGCTTGCAACAGAAACATTTGAACTTGTTTATGAAATCCATGAATTAAGCTGGGTGGTGGTGGTGCATACCTTTAATCCCAGTGCTCAGGAGGCTGAGGCAGGCAGATATCTGTGAGTTCGAGACCAGGCTGGTCTACAGAGTGAGATCTGGGACAGTCAGGGCTACACAAAGAAACCCTGCCTGGAAAAACAAACAAACAAGCAAGCAAACAAAAACAAAAAAGGAAAAAGGAAATATGAAATAAATTTTTTAAACTTCCCTATACATGATTCTCACATACAATTACAAACAAAACACACTAATCTTGTTTAAATGATAAATTGCTACAAGCACTCCCGATAGGAAACAATGGAATCCGGTCAGGCTGGCCTACACAGGCAGGTGCCCATCTGGTGACCAGGCACTGACTTTTCTTTGAACTAACTTGGAGACATTGTATCAGAAATTGATTTTTTTTTCAAGGAAGAGTATTTTAGTAACAAAATTAGATTTTTGCTGTGGTGCTTTGTGGAAATATAACAGGACCACAGTGCACTGAGGACCCAGCACTGCATTTACAAGCTGACGTTTGGAATAACTAGAAAGGGGAGACATGGGCGGAGAAGCTGAAAGCATATGACAAACCCAGGAGTTTTATCTGGCCTTGCTTCTCCCGTTGCTAGCCCATGTCTGGGCTGGTGACAGAGACACTGTGTCCAGCAAATAGAGAAAATATATTCTTTTCATTCAAAATGGTTGTGGGGAGAAGAAAAAGCCATCGAAATCATTCAAGATATCTGAGCGGCAGATGTTTCTCCCCCTTTAGCGGGAAAGAAGTCTGGCCCGGACAGCTGTATCGGGGTTCCGGACATCTCGAGGAGGAGGACTGAGGATTAAGAAATAAAGGGATAACAAAAGGAATGAGTTAAAACTGGGGTCAGGAGAGCCGCAGGGGCTGACGACCCAGGCCAGCGAGTTAACTAGAATCACAGTTCCTTACATAGCCCTCAAATGGGGAAGCAGAAAAAAGGCATAAGCATCAGACAGCAGAATTATGGGGAGCTCAGAATAGCTCAAGTTCCCCTTTAGTGAGGTACATTTCAGGACAACAAACAAAGCGTTTCCCACCCCAGTGTCTGGAACATTTAACCGTGTACATACAGGGGTGGGGGTGGGGCAGGTCAAATGCCAGTTCCCAGATCACCCACTCGCCCCCCCCCCCGCCCCCCCCCCCCCAGTGTAGCTGGCCTTGCATGGTCTGACTAGGTGAGGGGCAAATGCCCACATCCCATCATCAGAGCCAATGGGCAGTGTCCAGTCCAGGCTAGCCCACAACACGAGTCAACATGGTTTTCCTCCAGCATTCTGATAAACACCAAGGAACAAGTGTTTCAGCGCTACACGGATCCTCCTAGGGAAACACGTCTCTGGCTTTCTTTTCTTCTCAGAAGTTCCCCTTCTTCCTGATGCTTGAGCTCCCCTTAGCAGGTCTGTGACACGGGTGGGGGTGTCTGCCCCTGGGGCACCACCAGCCCCGCTTCCATGTGTGCACGTGGCTGCTGGACCCCATGTTTGGGTGCCTGGTCTTCACTGTTGCTGGTGGACAGGGCTCCACTGTTAGGGGACCCAAACCTTTGCCAGCAAACAACATAACGCTTTCCAGAAAATAAAGGTAATTAGGGAATTTAGTAGGACGTAGGTTTAGAGTCCTTAAAATATTAGTGATACAAATAGGCACTACTTACACAGGTGGGCTGTCCCCACAGAACTTTCCAATTCTTTTAGCGTCGTTGACTTCCCCACCGTTAAACACGGCCACGTAGTCGTATCGGCAGTAGTTATCTCGCTCGACATCGAACTTCTCAAACTTTAGCTCTATAAGCTTCAGGGAACGCACAGCATGGAAATGTCAGTAACCTGAAATTATGGTAACTGTGTGGTACATATGGTTATAACTCTATGGTAACTATATGGTTATCTATCATGGCAACTATAAATAATAATAAAGTACATCTGAAAATTGCTAAGATAATAGACTTTACACGTTGTCAAGGTGCACAATCACAAGAGTAACCATGTTGTATGAGGGATATGCTAATTAGTTTAATTGTAATATTTCATAAGATAAGCACCATCAAAGCATCACACTCTATATTGTAGGTATTTACAATGTTTACTTGCCAACTCTACCTCAATAAAGCTAGGGAGAAAAAGAGAATAAAGGGGGGGGGTTCTTTCTGAAACCTGGGTGTGTGTTGGAGTGATAAAGGGACCTGTATACCAAATCTATTCTTCTCTGTGAAACAATGAACAAAAATCAAAAGTGTCTAAGATGCTCCCCACATTGCATGACGTGTGTGTGTGGCATGTGTGTATGGTGTGCATGGTCATGAGATGTGTAGATTTCTCCTTTTGAGAGGAGATAAATATTCTGATCATATGTAAAGGAGTCAGCTTTGGGATGAAAGGTTCGGGGACCTGGGAGCTGACTAGAGCCGCTAAAGAGTGAGGCCTGCACTGCGCACACTCCAAGCGCCGTCACGTGGGGCGTGCTTGGTTTTTGAAGAGGGTGCACAGAAGCACTGATACACAAAGGGAGTTTTTAAACCTTTCCTCCCCCCCTCCAGTACTAAGAATAGTGTCCTCCGTCATTCATGTGACTAGCACATTTTAATTTCCTAAACCATCATCGTTCCCCTGCCACCCTTAACAAGCAGTTTTGCTGGGAACATTTTCAGTAGAAAAATCTCCCTGGGTCACTAACACCTGTGGTGCTCAGCGGCTATCCAGTCTTGCTGGGCTCTAGGTGGCCAGGGACCTGTCTGCTAATTCATGGAGGATTATGGAAATTAATTCCCACTAGATGAAGGATATTCATTCCCAGCTCAAGAAGATGCTTGCACATCAGTCCGAGCAAAGGCAGCAAGAGCAATGGTGTTCCAGTTGGACACAGGCCAATTCTGATTGCATCATAAGTGCCATACATGTGATATTCACCTGCCTCTAAGAAGGTAGCCTCTATGGTGGGGGGAGTCCTGCCTTAGTCATGCTAAAAATTGCTTTCAACTATGTTTCAAAATCTCCATTGGGGCCACTGACTTTTCACCAGCAACTAATAAAATACTTTCCATTTAAAGATTGGCTGAACTTTCTTGCCCTAAAAATGAAAGAACTTTTGGAGAGGCGATTAAAAGGGACTAAGAGGAGAAATGGGAAAGCTGGGACTTCTCCAGAGGCATCTGAAGAACATTCCAGGGACTGCCCAGAAATTCTGCAGGGTTTAATTTTCCTGCTGTTTTTCCTCTTTGGACAGAACTGCCTGCGGGTTCCAAATACCTCAATGCTGGTGAAAAATTCAGCTGAGTGATAGATATCAAACAAACCCGAAATTCCCAATAATGGGGGAAGAACCACGAGAGAAGAGATGTGACCATAATTTGGGAGCTAATGATATTGACCTTATTTGGTCAGTTATATTAACAATGTCATAGACAAGTGATCAGCACAATTTCAAGAATTACATAATGGTTTTAAGTATTTAAAAAATATACTTTTAAATATTACTATAAACTGCAATCCCTTCAACAGACATGTAGTTTTTCATTATTAACTAAAAGCCTCTATTTCTAGTCTTTAAATGAAGACTGAGTTTTGAGCTATGGTCACAGTGTGGATGTCTGCATTTGGATGTACATGGTGTTCACCCCAGTGACTTGCATAGTGGGTTTGCCTGGATCATAACTGATGTTAAAAACAAACACGTGACAAGTATCATGGTGCTGTAGAGGTGGCTCGGTGTGGAAGAACATTGGTTGTCTTTTCAGAGGATTGGGGTTCGATTCCCAGCACCCACATGGCCATTCACAATCATCTGTAACCCCAGTTCCAGGGGATCTGATTCCCTCTTCTGGTCTCCACAGGCACCAGGCACACACTTGGTGCACAGGCATACATGCAGATAAAATACTCATACACAGAAAATAAAAATAACTCAACCAAATAATTTAGAAAGCAGTATTGGCATGCTCACCAGAGGGTGTTTAGACTAAAGTCAGTAGTGTTTGAAACAATAATAATTTTATAAATTTATTTTTAAAATTTTCTACAGTAAAAACCCATCTATTCCTGTATCAAATTCTGTCCTACAGTTGATATGTGGTGGTTGCTAGAAAGGTCAGAAATTCATGCAATCACATATTAATAACTACTGAAACACTGGATCCCAGCAGACTGGTTTAGAGCAGCGGTCCTCGCTGCGGGTCCTGACTCTTAGGGTTGCATAGCAGATATCCTGCGGACCGGGTATTTCCATCACATCCCTTAACAATTATGAAGTAGCAATGAGAAAATTTTATGACTGGGGGTCACCACAACATGAGGAACTGTATTAAAGGGTCGCAGTGATAGGAGGGCTGAGAACCACCGCTTTAGAGGAACAGATAAGGAATCTGCACACATTTTGTTTCAAACAACCTCGATCCTCAAAAGCTGACACTCTATCACCAGAGATGGGGGTTCCTTGAAGGCTCTGTGGCTGCTGCCTGGCTTTGCAGGGAGTGGGGCCTGCCCTGGATGAGATGGACTGACTGAGCAAAGGAGATGTTGGGGTGTGCGCATGCCTGAGGCCCCTCCTCCCCACACTGCTAGGTGCTGATGCTTGTGGCCTCTTGTGCTTCACATCTGCCCCAGGGCTACACGGTCCTAGGTGGAATTTGCTTATAATTTGTATTTTCAAAACTGTTTTGAAAGTTATAGTTACGTAATAGAAAAATCAGAATCCATGGCTTTGCAAGTCAGAGAGTGCCAAGGGCAACTTTAGCCTGGGTCTTTGTAAGGATAAGTACTGGTGTCCACCTGGGCTCTCCTCGCTTGCATCTTTAACTCTCGAATCCCAGAGGCAGGGGCTCACACTGGGGGCAATTTACACATACTCACTTTCTCCACATTTTCTGGAGCCTCACCTGGTTCTTCGGGGCAACGATATGCCACACACAAGTAACTCCTATGGGGTAGTCTCGGTCTGGCCAGTTGGGGGTTTTAAAAGAGCCGGAAGGTTTCTCAAGGCGTCCTCCACAGTACCTGTCTCCTGAAGTTATTAAATATGGAAAACATACAAGTTTATACCCTAACGTGGGTCACAGTAGTACAATCACCCGGAGGTCAGGAATGAGAACATCAGGGTATCATAGCACATCAAGGCAATGGGAGGAGCTGCTCAGTTTTCTCTTTAAAAAGAAAATGATCACACAATCTTCTCTACACATCTAATTTGTTTGTTTCTGAGTTGGTCTAACATGGCCTAGGCCAGCCATGAATGCACTATGCAGCTGAGTCTGGCTTTGGTCCTCCTGCCTCCACCTCCTACTGCTCTGATAACTGACACCTCATCCCTACAGCCAGCTCACTGAGTACTCTGTCATTGCCTGGCATGTCACAAGAGAGGGAAGGCGTAGGATGAGAACCACAGCTTTTCTGGTATTTCCCCCTCTTTTTGAACAAAAAATTCCCACTCATTCAGAGTTATAGACAGTGCAAGGAATCAGGTTCTAAGAATTCTCAAGGCAGTTGTTCATTGGTTATTTATTAAAGTTACATGGTAAAAAATTAAATTAGCTATTATACACAATTTTCATTACTATTATCTAATATTTTATACACACACACACACATACACACACATATATAAAACTACTATATAACATCTAGTAACACGAAATAAATCTTAGAGGTCTTCTGTTCATAAAAAGAATACATATTTACAAGTCTGAGGACATAGGCCATGTGGCAAAGTGCTGCTGAGGGCCTGAGTTTGAATCCCGGAACCCAGTAATAAATGCCAGGCATGGTAGCATGTGCTCACAATCCCAGCCCTGGGAAGGTGGAGGAACATAGCCCCTGGCGCCTCACTTGCTAGCCAGTCTAGCTCAGCTGGCAAGCTCCAGATGCCCGTCTGAGAGCCTGTCTCAAAAATAAGGTGGAGGCTCCTGGGGAGCAATACCTGAGGTTGATGTCTTTCTTGCACATGGAGGGTCACATGACCATGTATATACACAGCCACGCCCACCCAAAAGTATGCTTATAAACTTTCAGCAGTATAGGAAAGCATACAAGTAAAAAAATTACCCCAGTCCCACTACCTAAAATCAACCACAGTTAATATTTAACGAATCTTAATTTAGACATTAGACACATGTACTGACATGTCCTGGCATGTATTGCGTATATATTGTTAAGTCAAGGAAATAGTTTTAGAAATCTATTTTGATATAAAATTACAAATTTAATTTCACTTAGAATTAACTTACAAATAACTGAGTTGAGACTAAAGGAACAAAGTATTTCTTTGACATAAAAGATTCTTAAAACATGCTTAAATTTAAGAAATCATATTATAAGAATTGAGTTTAGGATATTTTCTAAACTATGAGTGAAAACCTCAAGCATTTAAAGTAAACAGAACATAAAGTCCTCTGTGTCCCCACCACCCACTGTCAACAGTTACAGGTTTTGTTTTTTCCCGTGCTACCCAACCCCCAGCACCTGCTTCCTTGTTTTATTTAATTTCACAGGGTTGGGGAGGTAAATTCACAATCTTAACCTTTGCATGACTGACAGATGAACACACCCATTGTGAGCCACGCGCCTGAGGTAACACAGACGCTGTCTATCACAAACTCCTGCCATGCCACTCTCCTGAGAAACCTTGCACCTTACGCACCTAAGGCAGAGCTTTGTGTGAGCTGAGCCACGCAGGGCCAGCCTTCTGGTCTCCTGTGATGTCCGACAGGGTCTTTCAGTGGCGTCATCAGAGCTTCTACTTTAGATTGCTGGGAAGTATTCTTACTACCTGTTCTTCTGCTGATGTTCATTTGGGGCTGTGTCCTTTTGGGATATTTATTGCTGTGATAAGCAACTTGGGCAGTGGCAGGGGGATGATGGGATTTCATTTGACTTACATGTTCTGATCACAGTGCATGATGAAAGGAAGCCAAGGCAGGGACTCAAGGCAGGAACTGAAGAAGAGGTCATGGAGGAATACTGCTTACAACCTTTCTCCCCAAGGTTTGCTCAACCTGCTTTCTTATACAATCTAGGACCACTAGCCCAAGGGTGGCACCATGCATAGTGGGCTTGGTCCTCCCACATCCATCATTAATCAAAAACTTACCCAGATTTGCCTACAGATGGAGGCGTTTTCTCAGTTGAGGGTCCCCTTTCTGGGCGACCTCAGCTCGTGTCAAGCTGACTGGCACGTTGTTAACAAGGCTGCTCTGATTATTTTTGTGCGCATCTTTTCTGTTGATATGTATTTTTATATTTTTTTACATTAATACCCCCAAATGCACTGCTGGGCCAGAATAGACACAGATGTTTAACTTCACCAAACAGACAGCAGCACTGAAACATCTCTTAACACCTAAGTGTCTTATTGTCATTTTACAGCTCCCAAGGAGTGAGCCCATTGGTTGCTTCCCATTCTTGGTACCACGCCAGGTTATCAGATTTTTAGCCAACATCATGGGGAAGTAGTGGCACCTCACTGCAATCTTTTTTAAAAAATTAAGATTTTAGGGCTGGGCGGTGGTAGCGCACGCCTTTAATCCCAGCACTCGGGAGGCAGAGGCCCGACAGATCTCTGTGAGTTCGAGACCAACCTGGTCTACAAGAGCTAGTTCCAGGACAGGATCCAAAACTACAGAGAAACCCTGTCTCGAAAAACAAAACAAAATAAATAAATAAATAATAAAAATAAATCAAAAAATTAAGATTTTATTTATATTTTATGTGTATAAAATATGTTTGTGTGTATATTCAGTGTTTGCCTGAATGTGTTGTCTGAGCACCATGTGCAGTGCTCACAGAGTCCAGAGGAAGCATCAGCTCTCCTGGGATGAGAGTTACAGTTCCTGGTCATCTGGAGGACCAACCAGGGCTTTCAACCACTGAGCCATCTCTCAGCCCCTCACCGTCTTAATTTGCATTTCTTGGATGAGTAACAACATTGGTCATTCATAGCGTCCTCCATGAAATGCTTGTACAAGTGTTTGGCTCAGTTTGTATTTATTGAGATTCTTCTGCTGTTGGGTGCTATTTTTATGCGTTCTGAGTATAAACTGACACTTTGTGAATATTTCCTCTAGTGGTGTGGATTGCCTGTTCATATCTGTAATGGTATAATTTAATACATATTGATTTTAATTTTGATGAAGTTCACATGGTAAATGTCTTTCTCATCTTTTTACTTTCAGTCTATTTGGTCTTTGTATTTCAGGTGGTTTTTGACGGACAACATGTGCCTGGACTGGCTTTTGATCAGTCCTAGCAATAGCTTTATTCTATTTGGGTGTTTAATCCTTACATCTAGTGTACTTATGGATGTCTTGGGTTTAGAGTGCCTGTTGCTATTTTTTTCAGTTTGCTCAGACTTTTTTTCACATGTGTTCTTCCTTCAAGCTTTCTTTAAGTGGGCAGTTTCGGTATGTTATTCTATTTAAATCTTTTGTCTCTTAAGCATAGGTCTTCTGGTTTTAATGGATGTTCTACACATTTAACTCATTATAGCCTATACAGAGGTCATTTTGGACATTTTCGTGAGTGTCTGCATTTAAGTCATCCTTTATGGTCAAATATAAGACAATGATATCTTCCATAATACAATGTTCATGTTTTAGTCATGAAGACGCGTGAAAAGAGATCAAAAGACAACACACTACACACTCTTCTATGCTAACCTCTCCCAGTGGGCGTCCTTCACTGCCTTCAGACCGGTCGCTGCTATCATTTCCCTCGACATGCATTTCCTGCGGCACAGGATAAAAATGTCTCTGAGATATTCACAGCATGCATTGTGCTTCCCTTCCCTTTGCCATTGGAAAGCTGGCAGGAGAAGATACCTGCATCCTCACACCAGCACTTGGAGGATGCCATGACAGTGCCCTCTGCTCCTCTGCTGCTCACAACAGAAGGCCAAGCTCGGCTCTCCATTCTCTCAGTTTACGGTTTTAGGAATTTTATCCTTTGAGTTCTGTAATTCAATTATCAAGGACTAAGCATCTTTTATTTTTATATTTTCTTTTTATTTATCCTACTTAGAGTTTATTATCTTCTTGGCTGCATTAATTTATGTACTTTGCTCAATCTAGGTGCAGCTAAGCCATTTCCTTTATATTTTTGTTTCTGTACTATTATCATTGTTTTACAGATAAAACACACATGTTAGGCAATTTGATATTACTTCTCTGGTCTTTTGGTCTCCATTTTCTTCAATTTTTTCTGTGCTGGTATTTCAGAGTGGTAACTTCTATTTGTGGAGAACTATTTCTGCAACCTCCGGGCTACTTGGTAGGTAAATTATAAAATATCATATTCCGTATTTTCTTGTTCTAATATCATCATCTTATTTTTTTTAATAGTTTCTGTTTCTTTTTCTTATTTTTATTCTACATACATTCCTTTTAAATCCTGAAACCTTTCTCCCTCCCTCAATACTGGAAATTGAACCCAGGACTTTGTACATGTTAACCAAGCATTCTGCCACAAGGCTACACCTCCAGCCCCCCACCCCTCACCTTACCACTAGGCCACACCTCCAGCCCCCCCTCCCCCGCCCCAGTAAAGGGTCTGTTCTGTAGCCCTGGCTAGCCTTCAAATTGAAATCTTCCTTCCTCAGCTTCTTGGGTGACTGGGACTCAGGAAACAAATTCACAATAGCTGCTTAAAGTGCTGCTTGTAGTGAGACATTCCTCAAACCTGTCTGTCTGTCTGTCTGTCTGTCTATTCCTTATACTTCCACTTGTCCCCTTTGGTTTAGTTCTCTACAGAAAAATCACCAATGCACAAATATAATAAATGCCCCAGTAGAGAGATGAAGCATTCCTCTGCTAACGGCAACCTCTGGTTTACAATGGTTTTCTCCTGACTGCCTTTTTCTTCACTACGGATATGTAGCATTGAATGGGCTGCATTATACTCTAGAGTCTGCTCTAGTCCTGTGAAAAAATCACTTTTCTCCTAGTAGACGTTTAGCTACAGCTCAACGGTCTATCTCCCTGGCAGTGATCAGAGGCTGCTATTTCAGCCTGGTAACTTCTATTTGTGGGGAACTGTTTCTGCAGTCTCCAGGCTACTTGGTAGGTAAATTATAAATATCAATTTCTGTATTTTCTAGTTCGAGCCTTTGTCCTTAAATTGTAGTGTTTTATTTTATTTGAATGTGCATTGGTATTTTGTCATGGGTATTGGGTCCCCTGGAATTGGAGTCATAGACAGCTGTGAGCTGTCACATAGGTGCTGGGATTAAACCCAGGTCCTCTGGAAGAGCAGTCAGTGTTTCTAACTGCTGAGTCATCTCTCCAGCTCCTCAGTCCTGAAACTGTAGTTCTGCTGTCAAAGACACGGGTAGATTTCTGTGTATATTCTGAACTCTATGCTTTTGTCCAGCACCCTGCCAGGATTTCTCTCTCAACTCTCTGGCTGCACTGTCAGCCCTCAATCCTGTTCTTCTGATTTTTCAATCTAGTCAAACCCAGAGCAGCCGAGCAAGTACCCTGGAGCAGAGGGCTGGGGATCCAGTAAGCCTGCTCGCTGTGGTCTTCCTTCAAACTGCTTCCTAGGAGAACGCCTACAAACTGACATCAAAATATCCCAAGACACAGCATCAAGTAAAACGAGAAAGCTATGAAATGATATGTGATTTCACTTAGGTTTGTAAAGAGCTGTCATAAAAGTACACGAATGTAAATAAACACGGAGAGAAAGATGTAAAAACCATTAGTGATGCCTTTGCAGAGGATGAGGTAAAGTCAAGCTTCTCATTCAACCCCATGAATTTAATATTTGACTTTTTACAAGAATACATATGGACTTTCTGAAAAGGACTGACTTCTGAGAATGGTCCTTGGTGACTTGTTGGCGTCCCTTGGCTCTTTGAGAACTGCCATTGTGCTTTGTAGGAAGAAACATAAAGTGCCAAGAACGGCGCCCGACACACAGTAGGTAATGAATCCCCAAGACCCGCCATCATTATCGTCACTGCCCCTGTGTGAAAACGGGTACCTTTTCCATCTGGGGCAGCAGCCGAGAAGGTGGCCATGAAGCCACTCCCGGCAGTGTTGGCGTCGGAAATCATTTGCACCATCATCTTGTTGCCACTGGCTACGAGGGATCCTGGTCGGAATGTGCCACAGAAGCGCCCGATGCGCTGGCCATTGGCGTGGCCGTTGTACACATCCACGAAATCATAGCGGCACAGGTTGTCGCTCTCAAGGTCTATGAATCGGAAATTCAGAACGACCACTTTGCCCTCGGGGACCTGTCAAGAAAAAGAAGCCAGATAAAAAACTGTATCAAAAAAGCAACATCTGTGGCCCGTCAGCCCTAAAGACAGAAGTACACCAGGGCAGAACGGTGGGGATTGGGGTGTGGGGGAGGGGGCTGCCCCAGGGCAGAGTCTTTGCATGTGTGAAACTCTGGGTTGGATCCCAGCAACCACACACTCATAAACAAATAAGTGACCGAAGGTGATTTTCTTTTCAGGGCTAAACTAAACCAGGAAGAGTTCCCAGCACACTGCTAGGGACCTATTCTGTAAAAGAATTTATCTCAAACCTGCAGAATACTGGACTAATCTTATTAGCTGGCACCCTTGTTTATAAAAAATACCAGTTCCAGACATGTTGCTTGGCAAAGAAACACTTTGAAACATCATTTTATTTTAGTTTTTGCAAATGAAACAAAGGACAGCCTCACTATAGAGTATGCTTCTGTAAAGTTCAAAGTTAAGAGCTTATTTGGCAATTGTATTGTGAATTTTCAGGTAGTTTGACTGAGGCCAGGGAAAAAATGAACTAAAATCTGTATTAAGTTAATTGGATATTTGTTGATTCATCTCTTCTTTAAAAAAAAGTCACTACACTTTAAAACATTTTGATCTGTTTTCCTTGGGTGGCAAGTGTGTCCGCCAGGTGCGCTGAATTTCTATGCCCAGCAATCTTTCCTCTGTCTTATTTTCTTCGTTGTAACTTCCCCATGCAATTCTGACGGCGCTTCCTTCTTTGCCCTGTGAGGAGGAAGGAGAAAATGTCTACCAAGGCATTTGGAGGGATGGCTGCCTTCCCTCCAGTCTCAGTCTCAGTCATGTGGCTTTTACTTTTTTTATTCAAGTTGTTCCACCCTAAAGTTCAGATCGCGTGCTTTGACTTTTCAACCACAGGAGTTCACTCTCAGGATTTTCTTCTGTACCCACGACAAAGGTCAAAGCTGGAAATACATGCCTGCAAGTTTAAGCTGATTGACTCTGCATCCACCTGGAGGGCCTCAGAATGAAAGGCCAGAAATACACTGACCTGCTTTCCCAGGGTACCTTTTGCTTGGCTTCAGTAAAATAATGTATTTTCAGTGCCATTTATTTTTTTCCTGTCAAACCCATATACAACCCACAGGGGAAATTGTAGTGGAAAAATCTCAAGAGGGCATTCTTTCCCTCCCCCACCACTTTGAGACAGGGTCTCAAGTAGTCCAGGCTGGCACAGACCTCGATATGTAACTTTGGATGAAGTGAAATTCTGCCTCTACTTCCCACATGCTGGGACTGCAGGTACAGGCCACCAGGCTGTGGTTTAGAATGTGCTAGGAATTGAACCCAGGACCTCACGCTCACCAGGCTAGTACTCTACCAACTGAGCCACATATTCCAGCACTTCATGCTTGCATTCTAATTGCTAAATACTTGTACTAATTGTGCAAGTACCAGAAACTCCAGAGATGTGACCTAAGAACCTAAGAGAACATGCAGCTTAATGTTTAAGGCTTCTCACAAAAGCAAGACATTGCTCTTTAGAGACCTTTGATTCCAAATCTTCTCCAAATGCTCACATATGCTGCAAACACTTGACAATTATTTATTTTGGTGGCAATTAGATGACACTGTTGTTGTTTTGTGAGATGATATTGGCTAGGGATTCATTATCTGCCTGGACGAGAAACAATCCCACGTCTGAGCTTTCTCCAATCAACAGCTGAGTTCTGTGTGGACCAAGGCCAAAGGCTGCGGCAGTGACCTCAGTTCACCCACAGCCCCTGGGATGTCCTATTGTCACAGGCACACTTGCCAGGTCACTTGATGCCAGGGCTCCTGCCAGCACACAGGGGAAGTGCATTCGAAGTGGGCAGTTTGCATTTTCAGGGAAGGATGAGCAAAATGCAAACCCACGGGCAGCTTTGCTGTGGAGGCCAAACATCTGTAACTGGTTCTGCTCCTGGTCTGCAGCTCTCCTCCACCAACACATCACTTGTTACTTGAGAAAACTGATCTGTTTCTGCACCATGGGTTTTTTTGTTTTGTTTTGTTTATGTTTTATTTTGTTTGTTAAGCTATCATTTCCAGCTTCCAGGGCTTCTCTTCTTTCCGGACATGGGAATGCTCCGGCCAGTTTATTCACATCAAGCTTGAAAAGAAAGGTGTTCAGTTCACTGCAACACCGCACATGCACCCAATATGTGGTCCAGAAAATTTTATGTTAAAAGTATGCATAAATATTTGGTTATTTTTCAAGATGGGAATAAATCAAAAGCTCACAAGATCTTGCTGCTATACAGCCTGTGTACACTTCAATACTGTTCTTAAGGGCAATCTTGCCAATGTTTAGAGAATAGAACAATTTTAATAGAAAAACACATGGTATTGTGAACATTTCCTTTTGTTCCTGGGAGTTTCACTGAAAATTTTAAACTCCTTTCACGTCCAGGAGGGAGAAAACCCATCCACTGGGGTTTACAGAGAGCCTGTCACGCTGCCCTGCTGGAAACCGCCCCAAACTTTCCCGCTGCCTTTGGAACCATAATAAACCTGAATTCCGGGTGTCAGATACATTTCTAAACACTGTCCATGTTATCTCCTACAACCATTCCCAGTGGCTCTACGGAGCTGGTGCTGGCATCAGCCTGGGTGATGGAAACTGAGGTAGAGAGGTCAAGGCCCTACCTGATTCAGCTGTTGCCCGTCTCTTGTATCATCCCAGTCTGGCTACCATGCAGCCACTTTACAGTTTGAGGAACACTCCAAAGATGGCTCCCACTTCAGGGCCTGCTGCTTGGCCAACGCTGCCTCCTGATATTCTGTTGAATTCATCTCAGCTCAACGCTTACTTCTTCACGGAGGTCCACCTGAGCCCCTCAGGCACCATACACTGACCATGAGCATCACACAGCCAGACTACTTCCTCACAGATTATCTGGCACGCATATGACCACCAGCAGGGATGGTGTAGAGGGCAGAATTTACCTATAGGCAGCCAGCAGCTCGGAAGGTATCCGTTGAGCAAATGACCACATTCTGGCAATCTTAAAAAGTAGAGTGGCGGTCTGTGATTCCTACTGTTCCCACATATAATTATGTAAAATGTAAACTCACTTAAAAATACAGAGCAAACATTATTAACCTTAGGAACAGGAAGAGACATCACAACGGTTATAATCTAATGACTGTCTAAGGCCAGTTAGCAAGCCTTTGGCAGAGCCCAAGATTTGTAGCTTGCTGTGTTTTGTTGGAATACGTTGCTGGCTGGTTAAAGGTCGCCGTCTGCCATAGCCTGGCAGCTTTCTCGAAGCTTGGTACTATAGAAATTCCCTCCCTCCCCAGCAAGGCTTCCTGATCTCTACCCGCCTTTATCTGGAGAATGTTCCTGGGCATGGAGGACTGACTTTATCTGAAAGCTGTTTCTAAAACCAGATGCCTGATTCATCTTTCGCTTGACCCTTGGCACAGATCCCTGCTAAGAAGACTTGTGCTGGAAGCTCTGCTATAGGAGCTTATGGCCACATACTAAGCCTGTGATTGGAGCGTGCCACTTAATGTAAGTTAGGGTTTGTCCCCTGGCTCCCCACACCTATATATTCCTTCTCACTCTGGAATAGAGTTGAGCTGATTCACTGAAGTCTGTTTTCTAGAGGGCTGTCTCCGCTCATGCTCCACATACGAAGCTTTCTGTTACCTCTTCTGCCTTCGCCCACCCCCCAGGCTGATGGTTGACAGGCCAGAGGGAAGGAGAACCCCACAGTGTTCCCCATGACCTGTCTCTGGGAGAGACTGAGGGGAGGCTTCTTAAACTCGTTTCCTCTCTCTAATCACACAGGAAGTTCATATTTCCCAGCCTCCTTTGCAGGACGAATGAGGCCATGTGAAGAGATTTGGACCAGTAGAAGCAATGCATCAAATATTTTGTATAATCCCTTTGGAGTTCTGTTTTGGTTTTAATGGAAGGACTCAGCAGAGGAAATAGGAGGTCCTAGGAGATGGCACAGCTTCACAGGGAAGGACTTACTGCTGAGCCCGCTGCCCAGTACAGTCACGCACAATCAAGAACTACGTGCTATGTTAGGCCACTCGGGTTTGGGAGAGCTGCTTGTTAGGGAAGCTCAGTGCTTTCTGCTAGTGACCCAGGTAGTGGCATGCATCGGCTGTCCTTCCCCAGCACCTCTATGACATGCAGCTGCCATTATTGTTGTTTTGGGTGTCTACACGTTCTTTATAAGCAAACATCTTGGTGCTCCTCCCAGACAAAGCAGGTTCTGAAAATAGCCAAGGGAGGAATAGCTTTGCCCGATGACAGATATGCAGCACGTGCTTGGCAAGCAGTACTTCATTAATATACAACCAAAATACAAGTCACTGTAGAGGGGGCGTGGGCCATTTGGATTAATTGCAGAAGTGAGACAATGCATGGTAACGGGGCACAGAGTGCTTGTCAGCTTTCTATCGTGGTGACAGGCCTGGGATGATGGAGCTACAAGAACAGACGGTGTTTATCTGGGCAGAGGCTCTCACAGGTTTATGCTGTTGCTTCTTAGCCTGTGACGAAGTCATATATCATGGTCAGGAATATGTGGCAGTGCCGGGAGAGGTTCATTGCAGCTAAGAAGTGAAAGAAAGAAATATAAAGGGGCCAAGATCTCGATTTCCCTATTAGAGAAATGCCCTTGCTTCAGTTAGGATTTCTATGACTCTGATAAAGCAACATGGCCAAAAACAAGTTGTAGAGGACAAGGTTTATGCCCCTCTTATAGCTTGTAGGCTGTTGTCCAGTGAAGTCAGGGCAGGGGCTCAGAGCAGGAACCTGAAGGTTCAGCCTTCCTAATGCTGCAACCCTTTAATACAGTTCCTTGTGTTGGGGTGACCCCCGAGCAAAACATTATTTCATTGCTATTTCATAACAGTAATTTTGCTACTGTTAAAAATCATAATGCAAATATCTGATATGCAGGGTGGTGTTAGGTGACCCTAGAGGGGTCACAACCCACATGGCTGCGAACCAC